CAATCTTCCCTTTTTGTAAATATTGTTCCATAAAGTCAGTTTCCTTATTTTCTTTTTTTTGGATTCCAGTAATGAAAATGAAATTTTATTTCAAGACCTTGATCCAAAGTATGTATAGATTTTCTGCTGTGAATATTTTCTAATATTGTATATGGAGAAAAAAAGACTTAAACAAGGTATAACTCCAAAGTTATAAAATAGGGTTTCATGTGTGCCTTGTGGAAAACAGGTTCATTACTTTATGGCCACAGCAGGTGGGTAGGGCTGTTAAATAATTTGTTTGGGTATTCAAGAGAACTTTAACAAGTGCTAATGCCAGACTGCTTTATTTTCAAGACGCCTATATTAGGTGAGTCAAACATACCACACGGGGCCAACAATAGTAGATGAAGGAAAACACACATACTGGGAATCATAGTAAATCAGGACTCAGGAACAAATATCGAGCAGGCAACAGGACATGTATGGACATGAGAGTAGGTGAGGAGTGAGTGATAAATGTCAGGAGTCAGCAGCACAGACTATGTGTCAGAGAACCAGAAAGTCATTCCACAAATAGGGGGTCAGGCACAAGAGTAGTCCCCAGTACAGGACAAGTAGCTCTATAGAATTGGTGACTCTACGGAGTTGAAAGGTCAAGTCAGCCACAAAGGGGAATGTGTATCATTGTACATGCACCTAGATCACTCAATCAGTTTTCTTTCCTTGTTTCTGGGCTCTTCCATGAGTCCCATGAGATAGCAGGAAATACCAGAAAAGATTATCTCTTATAGGTGGGAAAAGGTAAATTAGTCTTTGATACCTGACTAAGGTGGGCAGTGTAAGTAGCTGCTTCTGATGAGCAAATTCCCTTGGAAATTGTTTAAAATGTCAAGAAATTAAAAGAGTTCATGCCCAAAGGGCTATAAAACAGTGCATATCCTTTGATCTAGGATTACCACTATTAAGTCTGTATCCCAAAGAAATCATACAAATGGGAAAAGGACCCATATGTACAAAAACATTTATAGCAGCTCTTTCTGTGGTGGCAAAGAATTGGAAATTGAGAAGATGCCCATCAACTAGGGAATGGCTGAACAAGTTGTGGTATATGAATGTAATGGAATACTATTGTTCCATAAGAAATGATGAGCAGGCAAGATTTCAGAAAAACCTGGAAAGACTTGTGAACTGAGGTTGAGTGAAGTGAGCAGAATCAAGAGAACACTGTACACAGCAACAGCCACATTGTGTGATGACCAGCTTTGATAGACTTAGCTCCTCTCAGCAATGTAATGATCTAAGACAATCCCAAAAGACTCATGGTGGAAAATGCTATCCACATCCAGAGAAAGAACTTTCTGAATGCAAATCAAAGCATACTATTTTTTCTTTTTTGGGGTTTCCCCCTTTTGTTCTGCTTATTTATCAACATGACTAATGTGGAAATATGTTTAATACTATTATACATGTATAGCCTATATCAGGTTGCATGCTGTCTGTTGAAACCCAATTTTAAAACAGTCTGTTCTAAGAAAGACACAAACAAAATTAGGGTGTGTGTGTCCACATTTTAATTTCTCTCAAGCTGGCTTGACATGCATTACATAGGAGTTACAATCCAGAACTGGGCCCCCCCAAGGGGGCCAGTCCAGAACTGGCTCAATTTGGGATTTGGGGTACAGAGATATATATCTTTTCAACAGGGGCTGATATCAACCCACCATCAATCTAGACCACTCCCGGCCTTGGTCTATCTAGGCAGAAGAATCTGTCTCCACCTAGTCCTGAGTAGGATAAAATCAATTCAGGCATGGGTTGGGTTTGACCAGGATAAGAAGATTCAACCCAATCTCATTATTAGTAATGTCCTTCTGAAGAACTTTGGAGGGGCAGCTAGGTGGCTCAGTAGATACAGCACTGGACCTGAAGTTAGGAGGACCTGAGTTCAAATCCAGCCTCAGACCAAACACTTGACACTTACTAGCTGTGTGACCCTGGGCAAGTCACTTAATCCTAATTGCCTAAAAAAAAAAAAAAAACAACTTTGGAGCAGAAGGCATGGGGGTGGAGCTCTGAGTCTCTAAGATAGAAAAAAATCATTTTTCACATGTCTTAGGGAGAGAGGAGGAAAGAAATGGGGGAAATTTTCTAAAAGTGAATGTTGAAAACTAAAAAGAAATAAATTTAATAAAAATAAAATAAGACACAATTTAAAAAAACTTTCTCAAACCAGTTCTGCTTCCCAACTAACCCTTTCCTGTGATATTTTCCTACTCTCCCAGGCTAGAAATCTTGGAATCATCATTGCTCTTCCTTTCTTCTTCATTTCTTATATCCTACTTTCTAAGAAAAGAACTCTTAGAAATGTCTCAAAACCACCTTTTCTTCTTTGACCTACTGTCCTCTTCTTGGTCTTTGATCACTTCACACCCAGATTACAGGGATGGTTCTACCTGGCCTACCTGATCTTTCAATCTTCAATCTATTCAGTTGGCTGCTTCGAGATTAATCTTTCTCTAACACTGTTTTACCATCCCCTTCTCAGAAACTTTCAATGGCTCTCCATTTTTTTCATCAACAAGAAACAATATGCCCACTTTTCAAAGCTCCTCCATCATATGACTTTATACTACCATTCTAATTTTATTTCCCACTACTGTCCAGTATGAACCCTCTCTTCTAAGCAGATGAGTTTTCTCACTGTCTCATGAATTCTGCTCTCATGTCTTCATTAAATTTGTTTCCATAACTGGATGCTCAGTGAAGTGTTCGCCCTCTTTCTCTATTTCAGTCACTCAGTCAGTAAACGTTTATTAAATGCCTACTATGTGCCAGGTACCATGCTAAAGGCTAGGGAGACAAAGAAAGGCAAAGGCAAACTTTATCAATTTTAAGAACCTACACCAGAAATTATAAAGATATTTACCATTACAGAGTATTTTCAATAAATTGGTTTCATATTTTAATTTTATTTGATCAGTATAGCATATTGTCATGCAAAAAATCCTAATCTTACCCATACTTCAAAATACTCATTTTAATCTAATAATTTTATTTGTCTTATTTCCACAAAAGAAGTATAAGCTGCTTCAGAGAAGGTACCATGTTTTATTATTCTCATGTATCCCCAATGACACTAAATAGATATAAGTAGGTTTTCAATGAATATTTTTGATTGAACGAAAACAATATAATACAAAGTATGTTTTCATTCAATGGTATCTAATGAATGACAACTGGATGCTTGATAATATATTAGATAATATGTTTTTCTACATTTAAAGTTAGTGATTTTGTAGCATACAAAGTTGTTACATTGTCTTCTTTATTCATATATGTTTTAAAACTGTGATTTAAAACCACAGCTAATGAAATGCTGTACTCACAAAGACCTTAGTTACATATTATGAAATTCTCTATAATTGATTCCCTTTGGCTCATGTCTCCACCAACAGCTTTCTCTAGTAACATGAGACTTTGTCCATACGTAAAAGAACCTGGTGCTCCTATATGAGTGCTTATAACATTGGACACCAAGGAGACTTTATTTAACTCAGTAGCAAAGTAAAAGGACTAAAATCTGAGTCCACATGTACCCAAGATGATTTTTCTTCTCCATGCAACATGAGAAAAAGATTATTCACCATGCCTGGAATGCATTCTACCACCACCTCTGAATCTCTTTTTGCATCAAGTTTCCATTCAAGTATCACCTTCTACCTGAAATTTTACTTGATCCCCTCCCCAAGCTCATCATGTCCTCCTCCCCCAAAGTATCTTGTAGTTTTTGTATAAATTCCATATATGCATTTTTATGTACATTTGTTTCACCTAAAAGAATGTAAGCTCCTTGAGGTCAGGGGCTATTAAGTTTAAGAAGACTTGATAACTTATTGGAATGTAGAGAAGGAAAAAGAATAGGAGAGAATAAAAGACAATTCCAAGATTCTAAGGCTATTGACAGGTAAGTGTGGAAGAGCAGCTGGTTTTGGCAAAAGACTCAAGTTTTTTTGTTAGATTTCAAACAAAGTATTAGTATATTATTCCATAATGAGAATAGCGAGTAGAACTCAAAGTTATTCGGCATGACATAGAAGATAAAGATCTGGAAGTTCCAATACTACCTCAAACACTATCTATGCGATCCTGATCAAGTCACTCTTTCAGGCTTAGTTTCCTTATCTGCAAAATGGTGATAAAAATAATGACTACCTCACAGGGTTGTTGTGAGGAGCAGATGAAATAACACATGCAAATTGCTTTGTCAGATTTTTAGAGTATTATATGTGTGTGAACTATATATAAATATATATATATGATGTATGTTATATATATACAATACACATATATGCATATAAAATACATAAGACAGGTGTCTAAATGTGTAAATATAACATATAGTGTGGATATGTGTGGATATATATAGGACATATGCGCATGTGTGTGTAGGTGTGAGCTGTACTATTAAGGTTAACTTGCCTTTTTTTAATGGGTGAAATGAAAGTTGATTGTGCAGGTCATTAATTCTGGTGTTTAAAAAATTAGAACGTATTCAGAAGTTTTGCTCAAAATGCCAATACAAAAGAAAATGACAATGTACTTTTCTCAGAAGGAAAAAGGGGCTGTATCAATTCTCCTGATTTTCATGTTGTGTTTCAAGTCATCTAGTTTAATAACTTTTTTCATAAATTATTATTATTTCAAAAAATGCACTGAGGTGAAGCCTAATTCAATGATTGCTTCCAAACTATTTAAATCACTTCTTAAAGCCCAAGAATTTTATCTGATCTCACACTATCAAACATAAAAGTAAAGTGTATTCACTATTCATGAACAGCAAAGCAAGTGCAGTGTGAGTTCAGCTAAACACTTTAGCTGAGGACGAGTAATGATCATGCTGACAAATTATGCTTGGTGAGGACTACCTACTTTTCCTCTGCTGTTCATATTTCTGAAAGTTGTGATGCAAGCACTCCCACCCTTTTCTGAGAACACAAAAAGCCCTGACTCAGTCTGCTACCTCCCAGGCAGCTGTCTCTATTAAAGTTGCTCCAGTCTGCACACTTCCCTATTGAGTGAGTTCCTCTGCAAAGATGAAGTTCGTTTACTTTTACTTGCTGAGCTCAATTGTACCAGCTTTTCATAATGCTGGGGCAGTGGAAGATAAAGCAGAGGAAACAAAAGATGAAAATTTTGCTACTACTTGTCCTGTGAGGCTGGAAGCAACTGGACAATGTAAGGAAGGGGAAGAGTGCTCTTACCAGATGAACCTGCCTTCCCTGACCATCCAGCTACCCAGGTCATTTAGCATGATTGAACAGGTATTCAAAGAAGTTCAGAATCTCAAGGAAACTGTAAATAATCTGAAGAAATCTTGCCAAGAATGTAAACTGCAAGCTGATGATAACCAAGAAATGGGAAGACACGAACCACTGCAGCCTAACACAAAAGCTCCTGAAAAGGAGAATGACAACAGAATTAAGGAATTAGAGAGTGAAGTTAACAAACTGTTTTCCAACCTGAAGGATGCAAAAGATGAAATTAACTCACTTCATGGTCGCCTGGAGAATCTCAACCTGGTAAATATGAACAACATAGAAAATTATGTTGACAGCAAAGTGGCTAATCTGACATCTGTGGTGAACAGCTTGGATGGCCAATGTTCATCTAGGTGTTCAAACCAGTCGGGACAGAATGAAGCTTCTGGTACGTGAAATGTGTATTGTTATCATTTGTTTTTGCATACTAAGTGATCTGAAAGCAAATAACATTTTGAAAATAAAAACTAGAAGTGAAATTGTAAGAAGGGTAAATTACATAAGCCTTTTTATGTGTGTCTACAAAGTTAACATAGAAAAACCAATGTAATTTTGAGAATAAGAGCATAGCTCTAATTTGTTCATAAAACTATACTGAATTTTATTAGTTCCACTAGAGAGCACTTTCAATTTCACCTGTTTCAAGATCTGTACAGAATTCTCACTAACATATTATTGCTAATGTCATATAAAAGCAGATGAAAAATATCCACAGATACAGTGTGATTGCTTTATGAATGTTTTCTAATACATTTAATCAATCTGGTTAATCAAGATCTACTTGAAATCCAAATCAATATTTAAAGTTTTAACAAGTTAGAAACATTTCAAGGATTTTGAGTACCACTTATTAAACTCTCTAAGTAAGTAGAATCAAGAATCCATGAAAAATTTTCATTTTTTAGTTCAAAATTACATAACCACAAATATCAAGGGGAAAAGAGATTTTATGGGCGGAATAAAAACAACTATGTAGGTTCATATCTATGCTAGTTTTTCCACATTAACATTTCCTGATGGCGTATAATCCTTTTAAGTGGAGATTTTTGGCAAGCAGCTAATATTTTTACAATGAAAAATAAGACTCTTGGACTAACATGTGTTTTGATTCCTTTATCCATTCTCTATCTCTTTTTTGGGGGTCAGAACTATGGCATTTTAGAAGGAAGAAAATATTTTGCTAGAATCAACTTAGAGAAACACAACTGGAAGACTGCATTACACAAGAAAATTAACTTGAACTTGAACATTAATACTAAACTTTACCTTGTTATTTTGATGTCACGACTAAATTGCCTTTTAAATCACTTAGTAGAAGTCAAAATAGAAGTATATGGAATTCTATCAGGAAAACTACAGGATTAATCATTAAATACAATTCTATGAATTATCAAGCTTTGTGCAAATCCTCTAAGCAAGCCAAATAAAAGTTTAAAAAAAATTGCGCAGGAAAAATGGGTGTGAAGGGACATATGAGGTGGGAGCCTTTTAGCCACATCTACTATGCAGTCTTTTCTCATTAACTTTGTAGAGTAACTACTCATCACAAGGCCTTTATGATTATCCTGATTTTACAGGTGTGGAAAATAAGCTAGGTTTAAGATTTGCCCAAAGTTATTCTTAAAGTAGTTGTGAAATCAGTATTATTATTCAGGTTCTCTATTCATAGGTCACTTCTTTCCTCAGTTTTAACTTCTCAGAAAAAAGTAAAATTCCTGAACATTTAGAAAGAACATACTGGAGTCTTAAGTATACAAATACCAACACAATTCCACATGTTAGATGAAATTTTCCTAAAATAAGAATTATTTCCTACTTTAATAGCAAAAAAATGACTCCCTTTTACTTCATCAAATTTTTCTCTATCACAGTTATAAGCTAAATATATTTTATTACAAATGTATAGGAAAGTAATCTAATATACCTAAAGGATGCTAGCTCTAGGCTCTCTTTCTGCCCTGAAAAACTCTTAATGAAGTATTCTGGTTTTTTTCTACATTTAAGAAGAATTTTCTAAAGTGAACAGCCTCTCTATGTAAAAACAGTAGTTTAAATGAAATTAAGTTAAAGGTTGGTTACAACTTCGTGATTATGATGGTTTGATAAGCTATAACTTTAAATTTATACTTATCAATTATATCTATTATCTGAGTTGGTCCTATGTTTCAAGTTATAGTCTGAATCAGAAGAACTAGATGATTAAAGTGATTAACTTTCTCATTTAAGTTTAGTAAGCACAAGAGCTTTTAATTTTATAGAATAAAATACCTCTTTACCCCACCCCCCAAATACGTAGGTTACTCAGTGTTTGTTTTTAAACAGCATCACATATTTTAACATCTACATTTATAAAACAGATCATTTAAAGATTCATTTTCTAAAGTCATGTCCACATTAAAAAAAAAGATTTCCTTTAATAGAGTTACATTTTTCTTTGGCTTATATAACTACTTCCGAGCAGCCATGTCAGGACCCTTTAGGAAAGTTATCATCATTGCTGGTAACTGTAGCTGCCAGTAGTTGTGATACCAGAATCACTGGGATAAACACAGAACACCTTACACCCACACCCTAGCAGTCATATGCCTAACAGTAGACCTCCTGAAGTCGGTGACATTGGTTCCCAAAGGGATTCTGGTTTCACGCCTTAGTTCTGGGACTACTACAGATGATAGTTGTGTTAGCTCCTGAAAATTCTGATTATACTGGTAGCTGTAGTTCTACTGTGAGCCCAAAAGAGGTCCAGCAGACTAGATGCTCCTAGGGTTCAGGTGTGTCCAGGGAATGTTTTGGGGTCTTTGCCAAAGGCAGTCCCTGCATATTCCTTGGGGAAAGTTTCAGTAAGGGGATTCCTCAGAATGGGGTCTAAGGGCCATTAAGTCAGAAACACAGGAACCAGTAGGCTCATTCTTAAGCTGCTGTGTCAGAAGCTTGAGGGATATGTTTGGGTGCACATTCTATTGGAAATGACATTCTAACACATGGCATTACAAGGAGGTTCTAATCTATAACAATTTAGATTGTAACTGAATTACTACTAGAGGATTTCTATCTTTGAACATATATATATATATAGATAGATGTATATATATGATTAGAAATATGTAATTATATATGTATGTATATATATTATTTAGCATGAGCTCTAAAAGAACATCAATAGCATGCTTACATAATTGACAAAAACTTTATCCAATTTCTGAAGCCATCAAATCTCATAAAAATTAGCTGGTAGTGAATTTCTTTCACCAATTTCCAACATAATCCCATTAATACAGGAAATCAGGCTACTCTTGATTATGTTGTACAGAAAAGTTAAAGAATTTCACCCAAAGAACAGTTTTTTCTATAATCAGTCTCACTTATTGGTTAATTGTTTAATTATTATATACCTTTTATGTAACATAAGAATTTTATTCATTGTCCTATCAATATACGGTCAGGGCTTGAAATATTTCCAGCAGTGTTTAAAAAAAAAACAACAAACAAATAGGTTGACATTATCTGAACTCTTTAAATTTCTACTAAACAATCGAAGTCAATTTGCATGATCCTAGGCTACTAGGCAAGGCTGTCAGAGGATGAGACCATGAAGAGGAGAACTCATAAAGTATGGTACCCAGGGACTGATTAAAACCAGTGTGAATAAAGAAAATCCAATAAATGTGAAATCCCGGGGTCATCTAGACAATACTCCATGAGTAGTTTGTGTACTATTCATAGGGTAACTATACTTTTGCCCCCATTACTTAGTAAAATTGCACTTTATGATTCTCTGGGCACCATATCTCATGAGTTCTCCTCCTGGTGGTCTCATCCCCTGACAACCTTGCCTAGTAGCCTACGTGTAAAATTTCCCAGTAGTAAAATTTTCTAGTAGCCTAAGCATAAAATTTCCTAGTCTATGAATTCACCTGCTGCCCCTGATGATATCTGTCCTCAGTGATTACAAACTGGAGATCATCTGCAGCCATAGCAATGGGCCTGTGGGATGGAATTAGGTGCTCAACCATGTTTTGTTACAAGATTGGCAGCATACCTGAAATTAGAATTCTGGCTGTTGTATTTCTGACACCCCATCAGATTAAAGGAAAGCAGCCTGAAACTCTTTTATACAGATTTCAGCTCCATCAACCCTAGAAAAGCTGGGATCTTACAGTTTACAAGACTTCAGGTACATGTTAAAGAACCTAGAGTCATCAAAACCCAGAACTTAGTCACAAGTCCCATGGATGACTGAGTTATCTGTAAAATAAACTGGGGAAGGAAATCGCAAACTACTTCAGTATCTTTGCCAAGAAAACCCCAAAGAGGGTCACAAAAGTTGGACATGATTGAAACAACTGAACAACAACCACAACAATTAGAAAAGGGCTTTATTTTACAGAATTAGGATAAATGAATTTGAGTCAGTTTAACAGAGCAATATAGAAATTTCATTTTTTGCTACTACTCTTTAATTCCTATTTAGCTTTTATATCAAACTATATTCTTATACCTATAAATTATTTCTACCCATAATTCTTCATAAGCATAATTTGTACTTATCAATGAAATAAATGATCTTTTCTCTCCTGCCCCACCAGCAAATATTCAACAACATCTAATATACAAAGACTGTTGGGATTATTATGGGAAAGGCAGAAAGAGCAATGGAATCTACCAAGTTACACCTGATCCAAGAAATAAGAGCTTTGAAGTTTATTGTGACATGCAAACCATGGGTGGAGGATGGACAGTAATACAGAAGCGTCTAGATGGAAGTATTAACTTCAACAGAACGTGGAAGGACTACAAGAAAGGCTTTGGAAACCTTAGCAGGGAGTTCTGGTTAGGTAATGACAACATTCACCTTCTGACCAAGAGTAAGGAAATGGTCCTTAGAATTGATCTTGAAGATTTTAATGGTGTCAAGTTGTATGCTCTGTATGATCAGTTCTATGTGGCCAATGAATATCTCAAGTACCGTTTACATATTGGTAATTATAGTGGAACTGCTGGAAATGCTCTGCATTTCAACAAACATTATAACCACGACCTTAAATTTTTCACCACCCCAGACAAAGACCATGATAGGTATCCTTCTGGAAACTGTGGACTTTACTACAGTTCTGGTTGGTGGTTTGATGCATGTTTGTCTGCAAACTTAAATGGCAAATACTACCACCAAAAATACAAGGGTGTTTTTAATGGCATTTACTGGGGTACCTGGCCTGGCATGACTAATGGTGAACCAAATGGCTTTAAGCATTCTTTCAAGAGGGCAAAAATGATGATTAGACCAAAATTACTTGCACCATAAGTTACTACTCATTCTACCAGGTTTTCATCTAGTTATTTTCCTCAGCATTTTCCCTTCCTTCCCCTCTTTTCCCCTTCTCCTCACTTCCCTTCCCTTTTGCAATAAATGCCACCTATTTACAATTTGATATTTTCTCCCAGTTAATCTTAAAACAATCTTTCCATAACCAAAATATATATCTCAAGCTAATGAGTTTAAAGCAGACGTAATATTTTAAATAAGACAGAATGACAGTAATAACTTCTTGTGAAAGTCTTAAGTCTTTTTGTTGTTGCTATTATCCAAATGTACACTTACAAACGATGGTGTTTATATTTTAATTCAATTATGTTTATAATTCTATTAATCAAAAGAAATATTCCTTTTGTAGAGATAGTGCCATTTATTAGTTTTATTTCTGACAATTGCAACTCTTAATTTTTTCATCCAAATGACCTGTTTTAACACAAGTAAGCTATGCCTGGGTATAAGCTAGACACTTAGGGTGCACAAACTTTTTCAAGTCATAAGTTACACTGTTATAAAACTGAATAAACTGTGATTCTGCTATTCTTTTTGTTTCTCTCTGTGTCTAACACACATTTTGGAATTTTCTGACTTAAATAAGGCCTGACTCTATCTATTATATAACCTCAGATAAATAATTACTAAGCAGCCCTATGGACCATGCTTTTCTATACATTGTTATGAAAGAATATTCATACTGTTACATGAAAATATCTCAACATTTTTTAGAATTTATAAGCCACAAAAGCCACATTGGAAATAATATGACTTGACAACCACTGTTTAAAGACAATCTGTTCACTGTTCATAAACTTGACAGATGCTTGATACCAAAGACTGCTTTAATATATACAAAAAAAGTCTTTCCTCTGTTCACCACGCACAATGGTTTCTTATTTAAGGTTGCTCATTTGTGCCAGACTACTGGTAGAAGGTTTTTTAGTGGAGGGGAAATGAAGTATTTGTTTGCAAGTCAAAATACTTTGAAGGTCAATTTTCTTTCTTTGTGACATTATAATAAAATGTTTTTCCACATAGAAAATTAAGTTTCCTAAAATTGTTCCTAATATATTTACCATAGATAGTTCAAAGTTGGATTTACTAATTTTAACCTAAATATTATTTGCCCACTATTAGTATATTGTTTCTTTCAAAAAAGAGAAAGAAAAAATGGAGCCTCTTGATTCTTTATCTTAATCAATTAGTTTGTGACACATACATCATACTGTATGGAATTTGTAAAAAAGAAACAAAACAAAACAAAACAACAGTATGCCTAATTTAGCTATCGTAGAAATTACATGCATCTGAAAGGTCAACAATGATATCCTCTGAAATGTGCTGAGCATCTAAAAAATGCTATAATAACCAGCTCTGTATTATATTTGAATCAGCCTAAACACATTTGCTCTTAAACTTTTCAGTGATTCTTTCTGATCTGGTAGCAAAATATTCAAATTATGTTTAATTAAGCTGCATGTTTTGTTCAGCACTTTACAATTTTTTTTTCATAGAATAGGGCACCTAATTGCTTCCAGTGACCACAATTTATTCTCCAAAACATTCAACTCATAGCTATCTTAGCCAGAAATGGTGTACAAAGTCACCACTTTAAGAAGGAAGATGTATCAAACTGTATGAAATACACAAACCATCAAATCAATATTCAGCTAAACACAGGAATCATGTATTTAACCACAATGTTTCTGACTAGGTTAAAAATGTAAAATTAAGAAATTTTGAAATGGAAAATGAAGCTCAGCAATGACCAAAATGCAGACTATTGGTGAACGCTTCAAAGGAAGTATGGATTTCAAACACATGTTTTGTATTTTGCCTGATCTTATCTATTTTTCATATTTAAAATACCAATACTGTAAAATAGGTAACTTTGACAGAGTAAAAAAATTATACAATATTTATTTCAACTAATATATAAAGTGGATAATATATGAAAGAATTTACTAAATGTATGTTATCTTACATGGTGTCAAGTGATATAAGATACCCTAAGGTGAAATTATCTTTGTCAAAAATCCGCTTGTATGAATGGAAACCATGTTGATTTTATGGGGGATTCAGAGTCACACTTTAGAATTCAGTAGTATATAGATGTGTTAGTATATAGATATTCAAGAAATATCTTGTTTTAACTCTTCTATCATTGGGCCAAAGGGGCATTTTCTTCCAGATCTTTTTAAAATCTCTTCCTTTCTCACAGAATTCCCCAGCCTTAATATTGTGAAGATCTGCCCGTTAGAGGGTGTACATCTGGTTTTATTCCAATATCAATACTATGATCATCTTAACTTTTGGTGGGAATAAACTAAACTAGAAGTGGCCAAAGTGACGTCTTCTTCTCCAGAGTACTGCGTCAGTGTATGAGGCTTTAAGCTCCTTAGTCATGCTACAGTCACAAACATAGTTTAAGTTAACCCTGAATTACAGAGGACTCTATGACAGGATGGGACCTCTCTTCTCAAGAGTTCAGTTTATTCTTCAATTTAAAAAGCTTAAGCAGATCTTTTCTGAATTTTTGGTTGTGAGTCCATAATTTAAACTTATATCACTGATACTATACATGGTACCACTAAAAATTAACTTGGGCTAATATCCATACATAGGGAACAAGAATTACCTAATTCATTAATTAACTCCTGTGTGATTCCATCGCGAAAGTAAAATCACTTGTTAGCAATCTTAATGACATCTACTATTCCATAAAAATATTGATTAGAGTTAGACCCTTGGAAATGCAAAATATGTGTAAAAGTCATATGTACCTGAGGAAAAAAAGCTCATCTTAGTGCCAGGGATTAATATATTAAACCAAGGAAATACTAGTTAAATAGACAGCATAAATGTAAAAAAAAGCCAAGCTAAAATGTGAATTTGCTAATCATTGTTTCATGTTTTTGGATAGCCACCCAAGTTCATTCTTAGCTGTGATATGTAATTTTTAAGATAAAGGTGAAAAAAATCTTTGGGTAAAGTTGATAAGATTTTGTAAATACGATTCTTATTTTTCTGTGTTTAAAATAGTCCTATGTCATAGCTTTTAAATTTTGTAAAATAAAAGGTTAATCTGAGAATATCTGTTGCTTTGACATGAAAAAACATTATTTCTGTGAAATGGTATTGTTATAACACTGTATTCCCAAAAGTTCTACGGACATAATTAGCTGGTAAAATATCTTTGTATCTTGGGAATTTCATGATTGGGCAGCTAGATGGCACAGTGGATAGAACACCAGGCCTGGACTCAGGGAGATCTGAGTTCAAAACTCAACCTTCGATACTTAGTAGCTGCATGACCCAGGGAAAGTCACTTAAACTCTGTTTGCCTTCATCTACTAGAGAAGGAGATGGCAAACCACCTCCAGTATCTTTGCCAAGAAAACCCCAAAGGGGTCCCAAAGAGTTAGACATAACTGAACAACAACAACAAAAGGGCATAAAAAGATGAAAAATTTGCTTTATAATAATTTAACAAATTTCTGAAATATTTGAACTTTAAGTGTTTGGGACCTGTGTTGAGCTGTACATGCAAGTCTTTTGAGACATATTTTCCACATTGTTGAACTGCAAAATTACATGCAAGGGTCAGAAACATTTTGTTGTTTCTCAATCAGTGAGCATTTGTTAAACATCTACTGTATGCCGGCCATTGAGTTAGGTACAAAGGACACAAAGACAGAAATGAAATAGTCTCTGACCCCAAAGAATCTACACTTTTTAGGAATAAACAATATGTAAACATACAAGTAAATAAAAATATACAAAGTATACACAAGTAAATATAAAAGATGTACAGAGTAAACACAAGGCAATTTGAGGGAAGTAGCTGAGAAGTTCAGGAAAGGACAGTAAGAGACAGAGACAATAGAAGAGACAACACTTGAACTTCAGGTAGGAGGGGATAGTGTGTGCAAGGACACAGGGATGGCAGACAGACTGTCGGCTGCGGTCAGCCACTGGGTCAGTTTGGTTAGAATGTAGACTGTGGGAAGGAGAGCACTAGGGGATAAGCATGGAAAAGTAGGTTGAAGTTATATTATGAAGAGCTTTAAATGCCAAACAGAGGAGATTATATTCTATTGTAGAGGCAAGAGAATGACATAAGAGTATTACTTTGACAGCTACGTGGAGGATGTATTGTGGAGACCTAAGTCAGGGAGATCAATTAAGAGGCTGTTTCAGGACAGCTAGGTGGCTCAGTGGGTAGAGCACTGGCCCTGGAGTCACAAGGACCTGAGTTCAAAGCCAGGCTCACAGATCTTACTAGCTGTGTGATCCTGGGCAAGTCTTTTAACCCGAATTGCCTCCCCCTGCCCCTGCCCCCCAAAAAGGGGCTATTGCAATAGTCCAGGTGAAAAATGAAGAGGTTCTAATGAAGGTATGAGTAAAAAAAGGTAGATTTTGTAGAGAGGTTTTGTATGTAGAAATCAATCAGTCAAACAAATATTTATCAAGCACCTATTATGTGCCAGACATTTTTCTAACTAATGGGATTATAAGCTTACATTCTATTGGGGGAGACAACAAATACATATAAAATATATAGAGCATAAATATAAAGTTAAAATATATCTATGTATATATACACATATATCCAAATACATAAAGTAATTAAATACAAGGTTCTCTGGGAGAGGGTACACTAGCAGCCAGGGGGATCATGAAAGAATTCATGTAGGAGATGGTGTTTGAGCTGTTATCTTAAAGAAAGAGAGAGATTCTTGGAGGTAGAGGTACACAGGCAGTGCATTCCAGGTGTGTGGGGACCAGTACAAAGGCATGGAGATGAGAGATGGAGTATACTGAGTGACAAAAAGAGACAGGTCAGTCATATTTGACAAGATTATAGCATGTAGGAGAGAGAATACTTTTTAGTTACTTTGAAAAGACAGATTGGGTCCTAGTTGTAAAAGGTGATAAATGCTAAATGAAGGAGTTTATATTGTATCCTGAGCATATAGATGGTGTAGTGGATAAAGTGCTGGGCCTGGAGTCAGGAAGACTCAGCTTCATGATCTGGCTTCAAACACTTAACTAGCTGTGTGACCCTGGGCAAGTCACTTAATCTTGTTTGCCTCAGTTTTCTCATCTGTAAAATGAGCTGGAGAAGGAAATGGCAAACCATTCCAGTATCTTTGCCAAGAAAAACCCAAATGGGGTCATGAAGAGTCAAACACAACTGAAAACAAATGAACAACACAACAACATATTTTATCCTAGATAGAGCAGGAAACCATTAAAGTTGGTTGAGTAGGGGACTTACATGGTCAGATTTGTGCTTATGGGAAATTACTTTGGAAAGAGTTTGTAAGATGAACAGGAGAGACTTGAAGCAAGGAAAAGAATTAGGAAGCTGTTGCATTAATCTAGATAAGAGGTGATGAGGGTCTACACTAAGGTTCTAGTTATGTGAGTAGAAAGCGGGGGCAAGATGGAAGAAGAATTATGAAAATACAGAGAGAGTAAGGAGTTGAGGATAATGCTGAGATTACAAACCTAAGACAGTGGAAAGATGGTTCTGCTTT